TTTTTTTTTTTTCCTATCCCACGATCTGCTACACAACAAAAGTCGATGCTTTTATAAATAAAATACATGTAAATAAAGTAAACAATACAAATGGTGAGTAATATTGGTATTAGACCCGCTGACTACGTGAGGACTTGTATTTTGTATGTCGGTGCAGATCATACCATCAAATCGGTACTCAAACTTTGGTGTAATGCCTGCATGCTTCGATACTGTACTTCGTGTTTGTTCGTAATTTTCGGAGTACTGCTCTGCATTTCGTTTTGAATTGACTTTGGTCTATTGTTTCAAGTTCAACTCTGGTGTGAACGTCAACGCTGTTTTGAGTACCGATTTGATGGTATGATCTGCACCGACATACAAACTACTACAAACTACCTACGTGAGGACTGCTCTGAAAATCACTTTTTTTTTTTTTTTTTTTTTTTTTTTTTTGACTCCATTCTATTCGTGGGGAGCGACGACACGTGTTGGGAACCGGGCCCAACGTCCCTTATAATAAGCATTTGAGCCCGGGGTCCTCACAGTCTACCCGGAGAACAGTGCCCGAAGCAATGCCATAAAACAGTTAAACACTGACATGTGCAAATTACGCCTCTTTGACAGTCAGTCAGTTTACACCCGAAATCTCAGCAGACTCGGGAGAAGACATCACACTGGAAGAAATCACGCCGAAATTGAGAGGTCTGAGAGAGGTGGGAAAACACAGACAGGACCTGTTGGACGCCATTCCAGCAGACTTGCTATAAATTTAGTGATTAACAACCAGAATGTGGGTAATAATAGCCTGCCATTATCGTGGAGAATAGATGGGGAAGAAGAATCCGGAGTTGTACGAGTTGAGCCTGTTGTCATAAAGTCCGTAATAACTTCAAGATGGCGGAAAATTCAGTCTGTTTTGCGTCTCCTTGGTGCGTGTTAGGGTTTAGGGTTAATGGTGTAAATTCTGTCTGCATATCTGGTGCGCGTTAGGGTTTAGGGTTAATGGTGTAAATTACTAAATTCTGTCTGCATATCTAGGTCGCTTTCCCTTCCGTTTTAGGATTTTTTTTTTTTTTTTTTTTTTTTGGATCTCGAAGCCGGCGGGGAAAAGGGGGGGGGGGGGGGGGGATTTTTTTTTTTTTTTTTTTTTTTTTTTTTTTTTTTTTTTTTTGGGGGGGGGGGGGGGGGGGGGGGGGGGGGGGGGGGGGAGGACAAGGTAGAAATGTTTGTCTTACTGAAAAGAAAATGGGAAATTGGACGATCTCTCCTTTTGTTTTTTGTATTTATTTTGTATTTTTCTCAGGTTGATGGCCGACCTTGAGCAGCAGCAGAGACGCAGCAGCCGTCTCTAGCAGTGCGTGATCAGTTCCGTCTTACGTTCTGGCCCTCCTTGGGCGAGGTCCGACTAGCAAAGAGAGGATCGGATTGAACGCCTGAATCTAGACGTGAAAGGTGCAGAAAAAAAAAATTCGAGATTGAACTGCTGCTCTTCTTCTGCATCTCTGCTTAAAAAGACCTCCTCCAGATTCACGAGAGCTTCATTCAATCCTCTCTTTTGCTAATCGCCCCGCCCCTGTTCAAGTAACGGCGTCGTACGCCGGGATCCCGATCGACAGATGATCGCCGGCCGGGATTGAGATCGACAGATGATCGCCGGCCGGGATTGAGATCGACAGAGGATCGCCGGCCGGCCGGGATTGAGATCGACAGAGGATCGCGGTGTAGGGGTTGTGCCATACACCATATCCAAGCCGAGGAGACGGGAGAAAAAAGAAGGAAAAAAAAAAAAGAAAAAAAGGAGATTCATATCGACGGAGGAAATGTTTGTCCCGCAAGTGTTGCTAAAGCGAAAATTGGACGGCCGAGATGAAGGCAAGGAAGTCGGATCCCATGCTAAGCGTACCTCGGCGGCGGGGTGTTCATCTGAACGGAGGCGGCAACAACAGCGCCACGGTGGACATGGCGGCTTTGAACCAACATCATCATCATCATCATCATCAAGAACAGGACCAGGAACAGAACCAAGAACAGGAACGGGAACAGGAACAGGACCAAGATCAGAATCAAGACCACCAGCAGAACCAGGAGCAGAAATAACAACAGGAGGAGGAAGAGGAGGAGGAGCAACAGCAGCAGTCTTACTTCGCCAGAATGGAAGTGGCGGCGTTGGATGTGATGAGAGATCGGACAGAAAGATCGACGGTGGAAATCCGGTGGCGCTGGTTGGTCGACATGAAGGAGCAACTACACCTAATCCTGGTTCTGGTCGTGATTCTGGTCCTGGTGCTGATTCTGATCCTGGTCCTGGTGCTGCTGGCAGCGATGTGTGCAACAGCCGTGATGGTACACGGGTGGCTGCTGGGACATCATCACTGCAGAAGACTGCTATGCATCGGCATGGAGTGCAAGATGCATCTGCTGCTGTTGGCGTTAGGGATTGTGGAAATTATGAAGAGAGGGGTGGTTGTGCTGTTGGGGAGGGAGAAATTAGGAGTGACGGCGATGGTGGTGGTCCTGGCGGAGGAGGAGGAGGAGGAGGAGGAGGAGGAGGAGGAGGAGTTGAAGGCATTTCGAGCCGAGGGGGTGATGGTGATGGTGATGATGATGGGAATGCCGACGATGGTTCTCTGGGAGAGGTAGTGATAAAGGGAGAGGGGGATTCATCGCCGGCGGTGGTTGCGAGGAGCTTCCATCAGCGAGCCGCCTTGCCCGGCGAGCCTGTCTGCGTCGTTTGCGGCAAGTATGGGGAGTATATCTGTGATCAGACGGATGAGGACGTGTGCAGCTTGGAGTGCAAGGCTGTTGTGCTTGAGCGATGTCAACAACAAAACCCTAACCCTAATTCGATTGGTGGGGGGTGGAGGGGTTGTCCGCAGTTGGCTCCGCCGCCGCCATCACAGGTCGTAGAGATCGCGATGCCCGACGAGGTCAGCAGGCCGGCGGCTGCGCTTCCTCCTCCACATACGACGACGATACTACCTGTCCGCCGCCCACGTGGCGCGGGCGGCTGCGATGATAGTCCAGCCCACGTGGCGCAGGCTCAGGGGATGGTGGAGATGAGGAAGATAAAGGCAAAGCGGGGAGGTGGAGAAGAAGAAGGAGAAGGGGAGGAAGAAGATAAGGATAAGAAGGGTTCGGCTGGTGCCGCCATCCGCCCCGTTGATGACCTCGATTGGCGCCTTGATGATTCTCTGTTGACGTCCGACGAACACGTGGCGGCCGTCCGCCGCTCCGCTGGCGTGTCTGTTAGCGGGCGCGACGCGCCAAAACCCATCTTGGATTTTGCCGCCTGTCGCTTTCCCGCCAAATTGATGGTCAATCTAGAAGCCCTTGGGTACGACTTCCCAACGCCTATTCAGATGCAGGTGATACCTGCGGCGCTGAGAGGGCGCCACGTGGTCGCCCGTGCGCCCACCGGGTGCGGTAAGACCGCTGCCTTCCTGTTGCCCCTCCTGGCGCGCATTGCTGTCCGCCGCCATCACCGCCGCCGCATAAACAAGGACGACGAAGAGGGGGGGGGGGGGCAGCGGGAGGAGGAGAAGGAGCAGCAGCAGGAGGAGGAGGAGGAGGAGTTCCCAAGTGACTGGTGCCCGTCGGCTGTGGTCTTGTCTCCTACTCGTGAGCTCGCCGCCCAGATTGAGGACCAAGCCAAGGCCCTCTCGAGAGGGCTAGCTATTAAGACCGCCTTGGTGGTGGGTGGAGATCCCCTCCCCAATCAAATCTATCGAATAAGACAAGGAGCTCATCTCATCATCGCGACGCCTGGCAGGCTGATTGATCTGCTGACAAAGCATGATGTGCCCTTGACATCCGTCTCTTCGCTTGTCCTGGATGAAGTGGACGTGATGTTGCAGATGGGTTTTCGAGAGCAGGTGGAGATGGTGGTCAGGGCTTTGTATCGACCGCAGATCTTGGTCTTCTCTGCGACCATACCTCCTTCCACCGAACGACTCGTTGCGGCGATCGCGTGTGATCCGCTTCACGTCACTGTCGGTGACAAAACTCGGTCTTCTATCAGTGATTCCGTTAAGCAGACCGTTATCTGGGTAGAGAATAAGGACAAGAAGAAGAAGCTTTTGGAGATTTTGGCATCCGATAAACACTTTCATCCGCCTGCCATCGTCTTCGTCGAGTCGAAGTTGGGATCTGAGATGCTGGCTGCGACCGTGGGGAAAGCGACAGGCCTGCAGGTCGCCGCAATGCACGGGGACAAGTCGATGTCCCAACGGAGGGAGGTGGTGAGAGCTTTCATGCTAGGCCAGGTAGCTTTGGTCGTCGCGACCGGGGTGATGGGTCGGGGTCTCGACCTGATGGGAGTGGGACAGGTCATCGTCTTCGACATGCCGCAGAGCGTGCGGGAGTACGTCCACTGGGTAGGGAGAGTGGGAAGGATGGGCGCAACAGGTCACGCCATCGCGTTCATCAACAATGATAATCGAAAGCTGTTTACTGACTACATACAGCTTCTGCGAGATTGCAAGGTGGTAGTGCCACGTCAGCTGGAGAATTCCCCGTATGTTCACTCTTCCTACGCTCTTGTCGCCGTTAGCTCACGGAGCAGGAGGAAAGGCGAGTGGAACAAGGCAGGATCATGATCATGAGAGGTTGATTAGGCTTCCACAATGGTGTGCGGGTGTAGGTGGATGTGTGTGTGTGTGTGTGTGTGAGTGTGTGTGTGTAATTCTTATATGATCTTCATAGACGTGATCTTAGTCTTCTGTCCCGATCGATGTGGCATGTGTGTGTTTAGTGCTTATATGATGTTCAAAGACGTGATCTTAGTCTTCTGCCGCGATCGATGTGGCTTCTGTCGGTGCAGATGTGGCTTCTGTCGGGACAGATGTGTAGTGGTGAGGAGGAGGATCATGATAATGAGAGGTTGGTTGGGCTTCCACCATGGTCTGTGTGTGTGTGTGTGTGTGTGTGTGTGTGTGTGTGTGTGTGTGTGTGTGTGTGTAATTCTTATATGATCGTCATAGAAGTGATCTTAGTCCTCTGTAGCGACAGAGATGTGTCTTCTGTAGCGACAGATGTCTGCCTTCTTCCACCGAATACAACGTACGGTCTTTATAGCTGTGTCTAGACTGAAACATGCATCAAATAGCGCTATAATGACCGTACGTTGTATTCGGGGGAAGAAGGTAGCGGTAAGGAGAGGTTGGTTCGCGACAGATGTCTAGCGGCAAGGAGAGGTTGGTTGGGCTTTCGCGATGGGCTGTGTGTGTGTTCCGACATCATACAAGCATTATCGTAGACACACACAACATCGCACCATCGCGCAAGGATCTGGACTACGATTCACATAGAGTCTGACTGACGAGATTGGATTGACTTTCTGTGCCATTATTTGTTTGTCATTTTTTTTGTGTGGGTGTGTTTAATTAATGCTTATATGATCTTCGTAGACGTCATCTCTTCCTCTTCTGTCGCGACAGACGTGGCTTCTGTAGCGAAAGATGTGTAGCGGTGAGGAGGGGAGTAGAGTAGCCCCCCCCACCGAATAGGAGGAGGAAAGGCGAGGGGAGCAGAGGAGGGTGTTGATAGTGAAGAGGGTGGTTGGGCT